TAGTTCTACAAATGACAAAAATTAAGTTTGCGGCTAGTACCATAAATGGTAACGCTACGCGATCGAAAAAATATTAACACTGCTTCTCGCTATATTAAAGAGCGTTAGTCGTTGCGCCACGCATGCGCGAGATATATGGATCTCATATATACAAAGATGGCGACTTTGGCTGTTGCGCAGATCAACAAGTACACACTTAGACGTTCGTAAGCCTCAATTAAATATGTCTTAGGTGGTTGGAAGGTATCGAAAGAGTCACCGGCTGTAATTAGTGCAAATCGCGCCCAGGTCAAACCTCATACTTGTGATTTCCATTAGCAGAGCGCATTGGAGTGTGGGAAAATCAATGTTTATCGACACAAATGTCGCACATGCGCGGCGCGACGACTACCGCCCTTGAACAGTGTGTGCGAAAGTACTGCGTACGAGTGTTTGCATTTGTAATGAACACAGTGACAAGATGCGGAACCAAATGAATTGATTTGGAGTCAAATGTTACCATGTATTGACTAATACAAATAAAAACACTTCTGGGTGAGTGTAAAAATAATCCAATAACGACTAAAACACGCTAAAGAAAAAATGTTAATATTGGAATCATATTACGTGTTGATCGTGATCTAATGTTATATAAGGTCGTGGGATGTTTACATGTGAGTATCATGTGTCCCACATCGAATTCTACTTATATTAAGACTGTTTTTTGTTCACTGTTTAACAGAGGTGTTCAATGTGATTTACATTCACCTGTTGAATTGTGCTTAAATTATTTACACTCATTCATTTCGTCTGTTGCGTTGGAATGTACTCACCTTCGTATTGTAGTATTGTAAATCCTCCATGACTGGAACTAGATTAACAAAGTATAGGTTGTACCTACACTGCGAAGGTCAGAACGTCATATAAAACCGCTACGTCCGGCTTATACCTGTATAGACAACAAACTTTAACGGCAGCAGTATCAATCATGTGTTTCCGTGGCTCAAGTCACTTACACAATATAGGTGTGTTTGACCTTACTGCGTGGTAGCCACTTTCTGTTCGTTTGTATGCATATACCTACGTCAGACACTTTCACCATTGATATTACACCCTTCCGAGATTAGCATAACAATCTGTTTAACAACTGTGGTGAAAGCTTTAGCTGTATGTAATTAGTTTTCGCTGAAAAAACTTCTAGGTGTTTTGTATTGAATTTATTTTCACTGATTTTTGACGAATTGAATGTAAAATATAGGAGAGAATGTATATTTGCTGGATTTTATTTTCACTGAATCATTCCTTCAGCGAAATAGCGAAAATTAATTTCAATAGTATTATGTTAATTCAGTTACAGCACATAGCGCTAATGAAATAAAAATTTGGAATCAAGAATGGTTTGCAAAATGTTATATGTAATGTGAAACAATCTCTCATACCACCTTCTCGGGCAAGACCTGCACATTCTATTGTCCAAAATGAACACGAAAACAGAAAATCAACCGGTAAGTCTGTATTAGCACTATGTCCGTTTTCGTCATTGTAGAATTCTTTCGTTTTTATAGACGACAATACAGAATGTTTACCAAGTAAAATCATATTTATTAAAGTTATTGTTCATACATGACTTTTTGAACAAGCTATATTATTCATTCGGCTTCTATCAGTCATGGCTCAAGACAAATGCATATATTTCGACAATGTAAAAAATAAAATAAGTTTTGTCATCAATATATTTATTTTCGTGCAATCGCTAATTATGAAAATTATTATTGATGTGCACAAGAAATACATTCTGTCATGAAATATTCTGAATTCACGTTTTTCCCAATTTCGAAAACGTAGTGTTATACATTGTATTACGTAAATATTCTCGTTTTGGATTTTTAATTTTACATCAAAAGCATTGCATTATTTACTTATAATCAATCAGGGTGAAACACAAAGAACAAGACTAGTACTAAGATTAAATAGCTTTTGATTGTCCAGATTTTTCGACAAGCTGTATTCTCCAACCATTACACTTGGACAATCAGTATTCTCTTACCTTGACATTCGGAAAACCTGTATTCTCCAACATTAACACTCGGTCAAGCTGCATTCTCCAACCTTAACACTTGGCCAAGCTGTATTCTCTAACCTTAACACTTAGTCAATATGTATTCTCTAACCTTGACACTTGGCCAAGCTGTATTCTCCAACCTTAACACTTGGCCAAGCTGTATTCTCCAACCTTAACACTTGGCCAAGCTGTATTCTCCAACCTTAACACTTGGCCAAGCTGTATTCTCCAACCTTAACACTTGGACATGATGTATTCTTCAACCTTAACACTCGGTCAAGCTGTATTCTCTAACCTTAACACTTAGTCAATATGTATTCTCTAACCTTAACACTTGGCCAAGCTGTATTCTCCAACCTTAACACTTGGACATGATGTATTCCCTAACCTTAACACTTGGCCAAGCTGTATTCTCTAACCTTGACACTTGGTCAAGCTGTATTCTCCAACCTTAACACTTGGTCAAGCTGTATTCTTCAACCTTAACACTCGGTCAAGATGTATTCTCTAACCTTAACACTTGGCCAAGCTGTATTCTCTAACCTTGACACTTGGTCAAGCTGTATTCTTCAACCTTGACACTTGGTCAAGCTGTATTCTCTAACCTTAACACTGGGTCAAGCTGTATTCTTTAACCTTGACACTTGGTCAAGCTGTATTCTCTAACCTTGACACTCGGTCAAACTGTATTCTCTAACCTTAACACTTGGCCAAGCTGTATTCTTTAACCTTGACACTTGGTCAAGCTGTATTCTCTAACCTTGACACTTGGTCAAGCTGTATTCTCTAACCTTAACACTTGGCCAAGCTGTATTCTCTAACCTTAACATTTAGTCAATATGTATTCTCTAACCTTGACACTTGGCCAAGCTGTATTCTCCAACCTTAACACTTAGCCAATATGTATTCTCTAACCTTGACACTTGGCCAAGCTGTATTCTCTAACCTTAACACTTAGTCAATATGTATTCTCTAACCTTGACACTTGGCCAAGCTGTATTCTCTAACCTTGACATTCGGAAAACCTGTATTTACCAACCTTAACACTTGGCCAAGCTGTATTCTCTAACCTTAACACTTAGTCAATATGTATTCTCTAACCTTGACACTTGGCCAAGCTGTATTCTCTAACCTTGACATTCGGAAAACCTGTATTCACCAACCTTAACACTTGGCCAAGCTGTATTCTCTAACCTTAACACTTAGTCAATATGTATTCTCTAACCTTGACACTTGGCCAAGCTGTATTCTCTAACCTTGACATTCGGAAAACCTGTATTCACCAACCTTAACACTTGGCCAAGCTGTATTCTCTAACCTTAACACTGGGTCAAGCTGTATTCTCTAACCTTAACACTCGGTCAAGATGTATTCTCTAACCTTAACACTCGGTCAATATGTATTTTCTAACCTTAACACTTGGTCAAGCTGTATTCTCTAACCTTGACACTTGGTCAAGCTGTATTCTCTAACCTTGACACTTGGTCAAGCTGTATTCTCTAACCTTAACACTTGGTCAAGCTGTATTCTCTAACCTTAACACTTGGTCAAGCTGTATTCTCTAACCTTGACACTTGGTCAAGCTGTATTCTCTAACCTTGACACTTGGTCAAGATGTATTCTCTAACCTTAACACTTGGTCAAGCTGTATTCTCTAACCTTGACACTTGGTCAAGATGTATTCTCTAACCTTAACACTGGGTCAAGCTGTATTCTCTAACCTTAACACTCGGTCAATATGTATTTTCTAACCTTAACACTTGGTCAAGCTGTATTCTCTAACCTTGACACTTGGTCAAGCTGTATTCTCTAACCTTGACACTTGGTCAAGATGTATTCTCTAACCTTAACACTTGGTCAAGCTGTATTCTCTAACCTTGACACTTGGTCAAGATGTATTCTCTAACCTTAAAACTTGGTCAAGCTGTATTCTCTAACCTTGACACTTGGTCAAGATATATTCTCTAACCTTGACACTCGGTCAAGCTGTATTCTCTAACCGTGTCACTCGGTCAAGCTGTGTTCTCTAACCTTAACACTGGGTCAAGCTGTATTCTCTAACCTTGACACTTGGTCAAGATGTATTCTCTAACCTTAACACTTGGCCAAGCTGTATTCTCCAACCTTGTCACTTGGTCAAGATGTATTCTCGAACCTTGACACTTGGACATAT